TTCTGATTTCTGGTAGATAGATATTGTATTCCAAGCATAATTCAAAAAGTGAAAGTCCCACATCACCTAGCTTTGTATTACTTTAAGTGTTTATATATCAAATTGTAAAACACTCGAAACCGTGTGAAGATTTTAGACTATATGTTGGCTTCAATTGTTATGCTGGCACATTCGTGGTTTTATTTTTCAGTGTTTAAATTCTAAATTTTTGCAAAAGAAAACTACTTTGATAAATAATTCTAGTTAGAAAAAAATATTAATTATTTATTTTATATATTATTGGTATATATATCATATTGTTATAAATCTCATATAACAAACCAGGCTCATAGCTCTTGGTGGGTTCAATTGACCAGAACCATAGGCTAATTATGCCCTCATTGTTAACTCTCATGCTCATAGAGGTTTGGCTTCGTATATAAACAAGTCCAAAATCACCCATCTCAAGAAAAATTCTCAAATAGTGAATTATGATGCTTGCAATGTCTTCAAATTGAATTGTATATAAAACACCTTTAATGCATTAAATGTCACTCTTTAAGTCCTAATTACAAGGAGAACAAAGAAGTACCACCAACTGTAGGAACGTTAAAAACTTGCAACTATAGTACTTTAAGTACATTCTGTAATCCAGGATTTGAACCTCCACATGAAAATTAACAGCAAATGGAACTTGTCTTTGTAATGATTACTGTATAAGTAAAATGATGGTTTAGGATAAGAATAGTTTCAAAAGTATTTATTATAGTTGGACCATCATTTTCAGCTAAGGCCACTGAGCTGTGATTATACATTTTCCTTATTAAATCAAATGCTCCATAGTTTTTTAACATAATAATAATTAGGACTTCCTCCATTCGTGACAATGGATATGACATTCATATAACAACATAAAATACAAGAAATATATTCATTCATCCACATGATGACCAAAAGTTTTCATAAATTGCTAAAGTAACATTTTACAATTGTCTAACCATAAATACCCTAAAATTGAAACCAAATTGTCTGCAAGTTTTGATGCAGTGTGAGACTGAGTGTCAAGGGTTCTGCAAATGGAGGACTTTGAGTCTTTGACAAAAAAAAGGCACCACCACAATGACAAATAAGTGACATAACATAAAGGACGAGTTCAGTGTTTTTATCTCTAGTATTAGTCCCACATTGACTAGTGTACTGAGATAAGTGAACTAAAAAATGCTATAAAAGAAGTGAGTTTTCTAGTTGATATGTCACGAAGTCGTGTGATAAGTACATAGCGAATTATTCTTTCGCCTTTTACTAAAGAATACCGTGTTCTCATCATTGCAATCTTGGTAAACGGAGTAAGTCTAAGGTAATACTGGAGATTTTTATTATTATTATTATAATTCATAAAATTATTTATCATTACATTGCATCTTTTCTCCCTCTTCTGAACATGGATTGTGACTGGAGATTTTTTTATTTTTATTATAATTCATAAAATCATTTATCATTGCATCTTTTCTCTCTTTTCTGAACATGGGTTTTGAAGCAATGAGCACCCGAGAAAAGCATCACAAAGAACACAAAGTCGCAGATGTCATCTTTTCGTCAGAACCATCGTCGGGCTGTTGGAGATGGTATGTCTTGGTCCCCTGTTAGTCAGACTTCACGGAGTTATTTGAAAATGCACAGTGAGTTATTGGACCAGTACTTTGCGAGGTTAAAAGAAGCTTTAGAAGTTGAGAATCTTCCTGAATAGCTGTAACTTTTGCAATGTAAAAGTTTAACACTCTTAGCAAGACTAACATGTATCTCCGGTTGACCGCAAGCGAGTTAGGGCTAAGTTTCAAAAGTACCAGAGGGAAGTGGAAAAGGGGGAGTAAGTGATATACAAGCTGTAATAATAAAGATCTTATATGCTCCCTGATTGGTGGACATATGAGTTGTTGTGGTAAATATAGTTCATACATGATTCTGAATATACAACAAAAATTGAATACCTTTGGAATTTGATATACTTGCGTTAGTTCATGAGATTGATTATTCAGTATCAAACTGAAGTTTTGAACGATGCATTCTTGTACTCAATTATTTGTGTACTGTTGTCAGTACTTTTGAAATCTATGAAGTGTTTGTGTTTCTATGTAATTAATTAAATAATGACTTAATGTTAGTGTGTTGTATGACAGATTCGGTGTGTACATTTTACAATGACTAATTAATTTTAATAAATAAATCATCTCTATTACCTGCTAGCTGAGACTACGTTACCATGACATACCCAAATCTGAATTGTGACCGTAATTAATTATAACTGAAACTAATGGAGAATGATATCTATTTTGTGTATGCATGGATAAGATTCATATTCCAACTTTTAAGTGATGTGCCAAATTTGAACTAGGAATATTTTTTAATGCTTAGATATTGTACTCATGAATGACACAATGATTTAGGAAGAGGATCCTGTGCATTATAATTTCTAATTCTCGTGTGATACTAGTAAGTTGTGAAAAAAAAAAACCCCTTGGCTATTACATGCTGCTGTGACCATGAAAGATTTTAAATACAAATTATTATTCTAAAATATGTATTACTCGAGTGAAGTTGAAGGAAAAGACATGGTTCTAATGTACATGTGTATATGTTATAACTATTATATGTTATATCTATGCAAGTTTTTCTTGCTGAATTGATTAAAAAATTTCTATCATAGTTGATGATAACCATAACAATACTTGTTCTATATTAACTAAATAAACTTGTGTTACATTCTTAATATGCAACAGTGAAACTTTGAATTCTGATTACACACTTGCTGAAAATTTCTAATATAACTCCATATTTGTTTACCCTATCATAAGTCAGACTTTAAGTATTCTATATAATATAACATTCTAAGTATAATTTATAAAGTATGACAGTAATTATATGCATAGACTGTCCTGATAGAATTTGAGTATTTCATACTTAATTGGTAGCAACTTTTATATTAAAATTATGTAATTAGTACTTTTCTTATGTTTATGAATCTGTTAATAACAATTAAGTTTAAACACTATTAAACCTTTTTTATACGCATTTGCTATATTTTTGTAAATTTTTAATTTTCTGATATTTTTTTTTACAAGTAATGAGTACAGTAGAGTGAAGTCTTTTTTTTTTCTCTTTCTTGGACAAACTTTTATGTCCTTACAAAAATGGTTGAATTTTCATCTTTTTTTTTTATCCACTGTTCCGTTACTATATCGACAATATTTAATTATGTACAATGAATGATTCATAATTCTTTTTAGTATTTTTTTTTAATATTAATATGAGCAACTGCTTATTATTTTTTTATACGAAATATAAATTACTTCTTATTTTTTATACGAGAGTCGGTGTCGTGTCCAGTAGAATATAAATTACGCAGCACCCTCTAATTTTTTAAAAATTTTAAAATCCTAAAAATGTCCCTGTTCCTTTTGAAAATAAATTTCTGGTTGTTAATCGGAATATGCAAACGAATTCAAACATAGTTGAAAAATGATCTTTATGATTTGTGATATTTTCTCATGTGTACAGTGCTTGGCGAGCTTCTTAATAGCTAAGGTTTGTTTGGAAGTTCAATTAGAATGGAAGCACTACATTTATGATTATCATCAGTCTTTTCAATTATTTGAGATTATTAAAGTAAAATTTATTTTTTTTATACAAATCAAAATCTTTCCGAAAAACATGATTCGAACCAAGATTAATCATGTACAAGTACAACCTTAAGTACTATCTTTTCCCTATACTATGAGTTATTAATGGGTTGGTTTTTATTAATAAAAATTAAACTTTATTATCCATATTATATCTCTAATTTTTAGCATAAATCAATATTACATCGCTCAACAAGGGCTATGAATGCTGATGCAAACTTATGCATATGCACACTTTTATGCTCCGCCAGAAAGAAAATAAATAGATTCGATTAAAATAAAATATATGAAATGAAGTAACAATTAAAAGTATTTAATTACAAAATAAAAAAGAAAATAAAATTGGGGAACGGTTGTGATGATTTAATTTAATAGGAGATTAATGACAGTTAAAATATTTGATTCACAAAAGTGTAAACAAAACTACTGTATTATTTAATATTTGAATGAAAAATATTAATTTTTATTTTATATTTGTTTTTCGGAAAAATTTATTTATGATAACTTATGATATATGATAAATATGATTAAAAAATAAGAATAAAATAATTAATGTAAAGTTTAACTTTTAAATAAATAGAAAAAAATAATATATTTTTAAAAACTCAATAATTAAAAATAAATAAAGAATGATGTAAAAGAAGACGGGACGACAAGCATGGTATCGATATTGATGCTTGTCGTGATTATTACTGCAATTTGAACAAGTCAAGCGAAGTGGTCATTTTCCACGCTCACTCTTTCACCGAGACACGTTACCTTACATAGACGCGTTTTCGACTCTCTCTGTCTTTAAGGACTTGTGGTGTGACTCTCTACACAGAATAGAATGCAATACAAGGTTCTCTGAAAAAAAAATGAGGTAGAAAGGAAAGAGAGTAATGAGCGAGGAAGGTTTTGGTAATGGGTGCTCTGGTAAGAGACGTCGCTTCATTCTCTGTTTCTTTCTTCTTCTCTTGCCTGAGCCTCCCATTCCTATTCCTTCCTATCGTTCCTCTCCTTCCTCTTTTATCTCCCTTTCCCACTCACTCACACTAGGTATGCATCTATCCCTATCTTCCTTTTACATTCATTTTTTAATATCCATCTTTTCTTCCTTCATTGCTTCTTTCATTTCTTCGCATCGTTAACGAAAACAGTAATCGATTTAAGATCTTGCTGTGTATGCTTTTAAATGCATACCTACTTGATAATAATGATGTTCACTGTACGAATATACAGCTTCTATTGATTATTATTACATTTATATATTTATAATACTATCAATAGATTTTAGGTTTAAATGTGATTTTGATTTACAGGCAATGATAAAAAATTGAAAGGGGAGTGGGATGGTCCAATCCATCATTCCAAAATATTCGATTCCTCGTCCTCTGCCGACAACTTTTGTCCATATCCTATGTCACCACTTTCATCATCTTCGTCCTCTCCATCCTTATTCCTCTTTTCTTTTCCTCCATCATCTTGGTTAGTATAATTATTATTATATTGAGAACCTTCTTTACCCTTGTACGCGCTTTCTTGTATTATAATTACATCTTCTACCACCCTTTCTCATCTCCTTCGTCTTCAAATCAAAAAGCTTCCCCTTCTCTGAGAAACACAAACAATGAAGAACACTTGAGAAAGAGAGGAAAAGGGTGACAAAATAGGGGGAAGACATGGGTATGGGGGGATTGGAAAGGAAACCTTATGTTACACTGCTGCTAAATCCATCTATATGCAAAGCAAAAAGTACTTGGTGTTTCTTCCCTACACCTCCCATACCACTGTTTTTCCTCAATTTCTTCCTCTTCCTTTCCTTTCTTTTCTTATGCTTTTTCATCTCACACCTACTTCTCATCTGGTAATGCTATTACTCCTTTTTCTCTTTCACTAAACACTTTCTGCATCCTCTGTTATCTTTTGTCATGTGTCCTTTTTAATTTTTATTTACCATTTCTCTTCTACATCGAAAGTAAATGTGATCAATTTTCGATCGCGTTGATGTTGACTATGTTGACTTTGGTAGCAAAATCCAGTCTGGAGTGATTTAGTTTTCATCTAGTTTTAATTTTTAAATTTTAAAAGATTTATTAGTTGGAAGTTTAGTAAGATCTCTACAAGAAAATATATACTAATTTACAAATTTTTAGAACTAAACAAGTTTGGTAAAATACTTGCAAAAGAAATTATTCTAACATTCAAAACAGAGTCACTTGTTGTCTTGATCTGATTACGTTGTTATAGCTTCAGAAAATAGTACACCACCTTTTAAGAGAACTTGAGCAAAGACCAAGAACTCCTGCAACTAAAATGGTTGACAGTAACTTCTTCGAATAATGTTTTCCTTTGCAGCAACCACATATACGATGACGGGTATTCATATTATGGTATATAATTTGACCATTTATGTTCCATTCACAGATGATTATTGCTCTGAAACTCTTAGAAGTTTAGATCTCTTCAAGCAACATGTTATTGTTACTTTATGATAGTGAAGCATAATTATCAATTTTTTCTAATTTGAAGTTAGACTAATGATTGGAGTAAATTTCACAACAAAATTTATTTTTGATTCTTTATTCAATTAACTTTTGAATCAACTACTTTCACTTTTGAATCAATTTGGAAGATTACTTTCACTTCTCCCATTTCAAATTATCTAATTTCCTGTAACGTATCAGTTGTTCTTGGAAAGGCTGGGGTCTCTTTAACCAATATGCGTTTATTTTGGGTAAGAATATCTCAGTGAAGGATTGTGTTAGGGTACAGTCACTTTGCCCTTGTCATATTGGTGAGAAACGAAGTTGTTTTTCCTGAGTTGTTGGGATTTTGAAATACTTTAAAACTGTAGATTTGTTATTTTATTGGAATAACATTTTCATAATTACAATAGATTGGTATATAACCCCAGGTATAATCTATCGAATTTAATTCCGAGTCTTACTCATGAGAGTTAACTCGTGATTGATAAGATGACTAGTCCATACAGTAAGTTGACTCACAAGTTTGAGTTTGATACTAAGCAAGTAAGCTTGAAAGACCTGAATTCAAAGCTCAATTCAAAGCTCAGTTGACTCACGAGATTGATACTATGCAAGTAAGCTTTAAAAACCTGAATTCAAAGCTATGAAGAGCTGAATTCAAGGCTATGACAATATATGAATATTTGTATGGGTTTAAGCATGATTGGCTAAATATTCTCTTGTTAAGAGAGGGCATTCTTCATCTTCGCTTCTCAGGTTCTAAAGGTATATTATTTCCAGTAATTATAATCGTGTAACCGAAATTGGACAAACTATTTCATTTAGCTTTGTATAATTGTTTTTTTGATGTTTTAGGAATTTCCCATTCATCAACATCTTGATTGATATCTTTGAAACAAATATCTTCATCGAATATTATATGTTTTCGTTTTATTTCTTGCTTAGTGAGGAAAGATAAATTAATGAGTAAATACGTGGAGGACCATCTTATCTTTTATAAATTTGGTATCATAGAATTTACTAAAACTCTAATTCAAATATTCATATAAAAAGGAAGCTGCTTATCAAATTATTTTCAGCCCAACATTCAAAATAAAAGGCCTAATATCTTTGAGGCAACCTTTATAAATAGAAAAATATACGTAGCCACCAAAAGTAGATATGATGTGATAATATAAGAAGAGAAAAATAAAATAAAAAACATTAATAAAGTTTTTAAAAATATAGGATATTTATGTATAATTGTTCTTCTAAACATTGTCACTAAGCATATATGCATGCACGCGATTTTTTCTCCTTATTTATTCTTTTTTGAAATTCCTATTAACTTTTGTGATGGATTGTTTGCCTATGCGAAACCCTTATTTGTCAGAACCCCTAACTAAGTCAAGTAAAATTGGAGACATTGCAGAGGAGTTGACGTTGATTTGGTACATATCATAGAATTGACATACAAATCAACTAGCTTACTGTTTAAATATAATTATGATGTTTACTGAATAATATTTTAATTTTTAAATATAAATAACTTGAAAGATTAACAACGTTAGATTTAAGTTTTGTTGAACTAAATTTTAAACAATAAAGATCTTGTTACATAGTTGTTAATAGAGAGATGTCAGACGGGTGTTATTACGATGTAATTTTTCAGGTAAAATAAAAAAATATGTATGTTTGAATTTGATGTATATTTTAAATAGGTTTATAATTTTTAACTTAAATTGATTTATGTTAAATTATATCTGAATAAAAATTTTAAAAATAATTACTAATGTATTTATAATTAATTATATTATTTTTAATTATATTAATAAAATTAATTTATATTTAAGATATAATAATTTAATATATAAATATTCAGATAATATATTTATTTAATTTTTAATAATTTATTGATTTAAAATAATAATTAATTTTTAATTATTAGATGTTGTAATAATTAGTTAAAGATTTATTTTGATTTTTAGTAATGTGATTTTTTTATCAAAATAATTTATATATATGTATATATATATATATATATATATATATATATATATATATATATATATATATATTAATAAAATAATAATATTATTTTTATTTAAAAATTAATTATTATTCTATATTTACTCGTTAATTTAAATTTATGTAACTCATAACTTAAATGGATTTATATAATTAAGATTTTAATTTTTTTTATCTAATTTAAATTATTTTTTTAATAAACCTATCAAATTAATAGTATCCTTACATAATGTCATAAGTTTATTAATGTAAATGGGACTAAAAGGTTTGGATATACAAATATAATAAATAAATTTCAGTCTATATTTGAGGCTAATTAAAAAAAAAACATTTTTGATTTATTAAAAGGATTGGATAGTTTCATACTATTTTATCCTCACATCACCTATTATCATAGTTACATTAAATCAAATTTTTAAGAGAGTTAAATCAATTTTAAGTGAAGTTTCATTGGACCATATGACGTGCCATTATTTATGTAAGCACTGCTTTGTTTTGTATAAATAATTGTTTTGTAATTTTGTTTAAGTTAGAAAAGGGAGACTTATTTGAGTTATTTAAATAATTTATTAGATTTAATACTCATGTTAGTAATCTTATAATATATTGGACTGAAGTTTTACGTAGAATCCATAAATTTACCCTTTTAATGATTTGATTTCTTACAAGTACAGAATAAATGGAAATATCTCTTTTCCATATAAATTGTTAGGATAAAGATATTTTATTAGCTAAATTATAGGTATAGGTATATGTTTGTATAGCGGTACAAAATATTGTATAATCAAAATTTTCTTTATTTAGTCATGATTTGTTGGACTAAAATACTATAAGATAATAGTATCCGTGTAAAAAAATAATATGAATAAAATTATAGAATGAATTTTATGTTTTTCAATTTGGTACCGAGTTTATAATTTTCTTCTTTTTCTTTATAAATCCTTAGAGATCTTAACTGGAGAGATGATAGAAAAATTAATTCCAGTGGTTATTTAATCTGAAGGTGTCTTCAACTTAGACATCATCCTAAATAAATCCAATTATGATGTATGATCACAACTAATGGAGATACACATTGTAGAGAGGGAAAAATTGTCCTACATCCGTTAGAAGGTGAAGCCTCCAATAAAGAAAGATGAGGGATATGAAAAATGGTATGTTAAAAACCAAAAAGTGAAAAGATGGTTAGTAATGTCCATGAAGCTAGAAATCATGAAAATGTATCTTTGCTTACCCACTGTTCTCAATATTTGGAATGATTTATTAAAGACGTTTTATGATAGAAGTGATGAACTATAGTTGTTTATCCTGAATCAAAGGGCATTCGCTACAAAACAAAATAATAGAACCTTAATTGAATATTATGGGGAGTTGGTTGAGATTTTTAGGAAATTGGACCATCGTGACAAAGTAGTCATGAAGGACCCTGATGATGTAAAGTCATATCAGAAATCCATTGAAAGATTAAGGATGCATATATTCCTTGTTGGACTGCATGATGATTTTGAGCAAGTTCGTGGAGAAATCTTGCGCAAGGAAGTGACACCTGATTTAGAAGAATGATATGCATTGATATAGAGAGAGACAGTCCGACGAACAACGTTGAAAATAGTAGATATGATTTCTGATTCTACAGCTATGATGACAAAGAAGCAGCCAACAAATCGAAGCAATCAAAAGATTTTGAAAAAGGTAACTACAAGTATACTCAGTGTAATAAGGATGGACACACCAAGGAACGATACTATGAAATTATAGGATATCCCGAGTGGTGGGATCACAGTCGAGCATCGAAAAAGAATTAAAAAAGAAATTTAACTGTTGTTGTTGTAACTGCCACTCACAAAGAGGACGACAAAGATATGATGTTTGCTACAATCACAGGTAATCGCAGGCAGTGATAATTCCAATGGTAAGGCTTTTTAATAAGCACATCTACCTTTTTGAATAATGCATGGACTCTGCGTGTTCTGATCATGTGACTTTTGATGTTAGACAAAGTAAAAATCTTAAACATTCCTCACAAAAAAATATTTCCACAGCCAATGGTAGTAAATTCATTATCATTAGAGAATGAACTGTCTTTATTTCAAACAATTTGAACCTTGTATTGTCGTTGTTGTTCCTTCTCTTAAATATAACCTATTGTCAGTCTCGCAAATAACCAAAGCTCTTTTATGTGTTGTAA